TCTAACTGGAGGCAGCAATATATTGCTACAAATGGCCAGTATGACAACTGGGAGTATCCAGAGGAGCCATCTGTCACTGCTGGGCCGACTGGGAGCAATGGGAACACGTTGATAAGGAGAGGTTGTATGACCATTGTAGTTAGTGAAGCTGACAGCTTCAGGCGCGGAGCTCAAGAAAAGCTTTGGGAGAGGCGATGAAAAGCAGGCGTTGAGCTCATAAATTAGCTTTACATGCATATGGGCAGTGCTGCAGCACAACCTGGATCATCGCATAAATATGAGCAAACCCAATATCTGCCAACATGACACACATGATGATGAGTAAACGCGCTGTGTGACGCGACAACAAACACACAGAACACATGAGTAACATAATTTGGAAAACTCAGACTTCTTTTTGCTTTAGTGCCTTGCATTACTCACGCTTTTTGTACATTTTCTTATTTTGATACTTTTTACCACAAACTTTATCTTGTTGATCTGGCCCTTATCTGCCAGACCATCAAATCCTCGTGTGTAAATCGGGAGTGGCAAGGAAGCTGGTTACAATTCACCAAGGTTCACTTTTCACCAGGACAGCAAAAATTTTGTTCATGGCATATTTGTCATGAGTTGTGGCAGACATGGACCAAAATGCAGGAAAGACGGTAAGTGTCACACTGGAAATAAAAATTAATTCAAGCAACTTGCAAAAAAGATGAAGAGAAACAAACCAGGCACAGAAGACAGGCAAACTGACAGGACAGGAAATGAAAAGATCTGATGAGAAGTGAAAGAATCTGACTGGTCTATAACTTCTGGAGAGATGATTAATGGCTCATAACCAGGTGAGCAGAATCACTAGAATACAGTATATCTAAGAGGGTACCAGAGAAGCTAAAGGTAAAATGCCTTAGCATAAAAATGAATATGTAGTGATCTAAACAAAAAGCAAAAGAATCCACTGAATTAAAAACTAAAGAGTAATGCTAAAATAGGAATCTAAACAAAGATGCAAAGAACAGAACACAGAAGAGAACAAAACGGCCAAACGAAAACAAAATAACTCCAACTTATCCTAAATATAACACAAAGAAAAAAAAAACACAAAGACCTATGAATTATGACATCTGTATGTGTTAGAAGTCCAGACCTGAATCCATCGTAGAATTTGTAGCAAGACTTGAAAACTGCTTTTCTCCGCTACTCCACAGAACAATCTGTTGAGCTTGAGGTAGTTTGTAGAAAACAATGGGCAGAAATTTCAGTCTCCAGATTGGCAGAGCCAGTAGAGACATTTCCCAAAAGATTCTCAGCTGCAAGAGCAAAAGGTCGTTCTTTGAAGACTCAAGGAGGCTGAATAAAAATGAAGTATTTTATTTTGTAAAGAAAATGTTAGAGCCATTTGTCATGTTCCCTACTCTACAGAACTACATACTGCTTTGTGTTGGTCTATCAAACAATTTCTCAATATGGTCAAATAAGAGGAATTTTTGTTTTAAAGTGACAAAATATAAAACATTTAGGTATGTGAACACTTTGATTAGATAATAATTTACTTCAGTTTGTTTGTATAGTTGTACTATGTTACATAACATGGAGATAATTATCTTATAGAAACATAAATGACTTCCAGTTATTAACGTGTACAAATTTTCAATTTGGTAACAGAGAAGGATCTGAACTGAGGCAACAAAATCAATTATGTAGAAATAAAAACAACAGCTAAACATTGGTCTTGATGAAGCTTACTTGGGGCTGGCAAGTAAATTTAATTGGCAAACTCTAATTTTGTTCAGACTCAGAGGAAATGTCCAAATCAGCCAATTATTTCTAGTTTGCTCGCAGGGATTTGTTAGTCAGCTGTCAACAGAGCTGCATGGGAGATAATTGGAGACATTATTAACCATATTTGCTGGCATGGATGGTGGTTATATCCACTGTAAATAGGGAATCCATCCATCCAGTCCCAGTCTGTCATGTTGAGAGTCTCAGGGGTTGAAGGCCAGACTGTATGATGGAAGGACCACAAGCCCATTGCAGCGCCAACACAAAAACTAACGACGATGAAAACTCATCCCTCAAGTACGTTTAGAGACTGCATGTGCACCATTTTATAATTAAAGTATTTGCCAGAAATGTGAAGATGACTTTACAATCATTTACAGAGCTTGGGAAAAGCAAGCACGTCTTCTTTTTTTTCCAAAACTGAAGTTGTGTTTGTCTTTTATAAAAAGTTTCATACAAACACCATCTACCCATGAAATGCCTTTATTCATAAGCAAGTTACACACAGACTGGTCATACGGTCATAACTGTACCCAACTTTAAAATATTTGAGATTCACTTTTTCACCACTGCCCCTTGTTCAAGGAGCACAGAAAGAAATATGATTCAGCCTGTCTGTAAATGTAAACAGATGTTGACATTAGATTAGCAGGGATAGTACAAAATGTGAAAAGAATAGCATCGTTGCATCGTTCTACACTAGGCTGCATGATGTTATTGGGAGCTATGATCCTGCTACACTTTCACTATTTTTGCTGTGGCGGCGCGGCCTGGGTTGTGGCTATTCCTTTAGGATTTGAAACTCAGTCTGTCATCACTTTCTCCTTGCAGCTTTGTGGTGATGCTTTATTAAGTAGCATTAAAAAAAGCATCACTTGTATGTCCACTTTATTAAAATGGGGACATGTAATTCTACAAGGGACTCCGAAGACTCCCAAATCTCATTCAGCACCATTTTAAACAACATCAAGCACAGAAAACATGTACAGAGAAGAAAAGAAGTGATGACAGTCAGCAGAAGCTTCATCTTCTGTCACTGCTAACGGCCACATTAATAATCTGGTTTTTATTGAAATGATTTTATACCCAACCTAAAATGTGCCAAACTTGTTTTTCTTTCATCATGCAAGGACAACATGGGAAAACTTGTGAAAAACAAAGCATAAAGATGAGCGTAAGCATTGCTCAGCATCTCTTTAAAAGCCTGACAGTGAAAGATTAATCAGAGAGACAATCTAAGAAAAAATATTTTTTTAAGTGCTGGTTTGGATGGTTACGTAATCATAAATTCACCAATATTCTGCTGTGCTGTCCCCAACCCGAGCTCCAAATCTGACGCTCTATGTGGAAAACAATATTAATGGAGTGCTGCTGGGAAATAACAGTGTCTGACTTGCAATTTGCTTCAATCCCATTTGGTCTGAGTTGCCTAAAATAGGTCTGTCTGCAGGCCTCTTCGGCTGCAATCTCTCAGACATGAGCGATACGATCAGAAAAGATGAAAGAAAATGGGATCAGCGGTTGGCATTTCATCGGTGTCGACTCCCCACGACGCACGCCTGAATACCGACTGAGCTTCTTACTCGCTAAGCAGGTTCTTGACTAATTCTCTGTCTTTCTTGGTTAAACAGCAGCATGCATGAAGGAGGAGGACAATGGGAAGGCAGCGTGGCATGATGAAGAAGAAGAAAAAGAAGAAGATGAAGAAGACACACTGGCCTTGAAACACTCTCACATGTGCATTTGGCAAGGCTAGGTTGCTTCCCTTGAGGACAATTCTTTGAAAGAGTTTCAAACAGCTCTACTAAAAATTACAAGTAAGGCCTCACCGAATTACATAAGAACCGTGTTGTATAAATCACGACGGTTTGATTTATACAACCGTATAGATTTGAAACTTCAGAATGTCAGACGTGACAACAAATATGGCCGTGTTATAGAAAAAAAAACACTCTGTAAGCCTCAGTTATCAATTTAACCATTTACTTTTACATTTGTATAACGTCATTGACTGAGCTCTTAGCATTTCTCGAGTTACTCGCGTTCCTGTTTTCTGATGTTTCCATCATTTGAGATAACCACATCGATCACAACAGCTGTCCTCTGCTGCTTATCCATGATCATAACGTCTGGTTGGTTGGCTTTACCGTTTAGATAGTTTATTAAATTACTTAATTTAAAAGATATCACCTGTATATTTAAAAGCCTTCTTAAACATTTCTGTTAGTATGATAAAAGTGAATGAGAAGTTCAGAAAGTGTTTTATGCTCATGTTTATGGCGTTTAGGGGTGCTAACCAAGTTAGAATTTTATTTTTATTTTTATATACTGACAGATTTTAATCATTTTACAGGCTTTCTGACAGCTTCATGTGTTCAGTGGTTATTATTTGTACAAATCCACTTTATTGCATAAAACAATTTATAAACTCATTTATTGTAATGTTTTTAAATGTGCAAATTAATTGTGCTGTTACTGACATCTACTGTGAAAATTAAATACATCGCTCCATAAGAAACATATTCTCTTTTTTAACAATAATAAGAATATTTATTTTCAGAGTGTACTTCTTGGTTAGAATATTATGAAATATATCTATGTATACGTTTAGGTACAGATAGTGTACATTTAAACTCTTAGGATTCAAAAAAAAAAAAAAAAACTTGGGCCCCAAAACAGTAGCCCTAGTAAGCCATTACGTAAGACCGGCCCTGTGTGTACGCCAGTGGACATGTAACAGGTGAAATGGACGAACCGGGACCAGTGTCTGGTTCATAACCACAATTCATCAGTGGCACACAGACTGATTCACAAAATTCAACATAGCCCTCTATCTTATATGCCAGTGTTTACAAGATAATTGCACAAATTATCTTATGCAGCATCTCCAAATACTAGACATAAATCAATTGTGAGATTTTGTGCATTAAAGATGAATAACCGACCCACTCAAAGAGAGGAGGAGACATTTCCAAGATAATTAAAAACATGACTCAATTCGCTTGGACACTAAAGCAACAACTAGTTCCATCCAAATCTGCGCTCGTAACAACCCTGGGACCCGAAACGCGCTGGTTTTCCGATAAAAATGTGAGCCTCCGTCACCCGGAGTCACAACTGTTGCTCTGGCAGCGCTCCGACTCAACGCGCCTCTGCTCCGGCTGAACAGGTGCCGACAGGGGCTGGCTGAACAAAAACCAGCGGAGAAGCACAAAAATAAGGCAGAAACTTACATGTCTAAGTTCCTGCATGCGGTCCTTCATGGTTCCTTGTTTACACCGGACGTGGTTCCTCCTGCTCCCGTCGTTTCTTTTCTATTCGCCCCCTCCTCCCCTCCTGGATGTGAGCTGATGATGGAGCGACGGGGCGGAGACCGACTGGATGATGCGAGCCGGGCGCGCGGGGCACAGGCTCCGAAGTCCCGGTTCTCCTCACAGACAGGGACTACTTTTATGTGTTAAGGTGAGACACGGCCTTCCGCCGCCCACCAGTCAGTCACAAGCCTAAAACTCCCCTTTTGATCCATCCGCAAAAATAAACTCTTTGTTTTTTCAGGAGTGAATTTGGCTCCAACGGGATAAATTGGGATAACAGCTCAACAACAAACACGACACGTTTGGTGAACTGAGACGGGAATTTTTGTTTGTGTAGGTTATCGATTGAGCAGGTCAAAGGATAACGCCCAGGTGGTTTCAAGTGAGAAACAGCGACATCTTTTGGCCAAGACAAAATTAGTTTTTGGGTTTTCGTTTTTATCTCGACACTCAAGTGTATCTAATTGGATGATTGAGTGAGAGAAAAAAGTTTGGACTCTTCTGGTCTATATACTTCTCATCGTGTAACAGTTAGATCTTGCGTCACCAGAGTTAGTCAGACGTTTATAAATATCTAATAAAGATATATTTTTTCCCTGATTCCAAATGTGACCAAAGTTATTGTTTTAGTTGTTAAAGAATACACCCATGCATTATCCATTTCATACAGAATGAATTTGAGAAAACAGTAAATAATTCAAAACATGAATTAGAAAATGAAGACAATTTAATTTAAAAGTATTTTTAATAGGATACCGTTGCCTCTGTTTTATTTTATTTTTTTTTGTTTTGTTTTGTAGCAGCTCATATTCGGTCTTCAACTCAAACTGAAAACTGCATCTCCTTTCAGCTTCTGACAAAACATCAAAGCACTTGATGAAATACAAAAAGTGATTTGGTGTAATTTATCGCTTGCGTTTTGTCCACTTGAATTAGAGACCTGAAAAGTCCAATCAAGCTGCAGCTCCAGGGGACACTGCATGAGTGTGTGTGTGTTAGAGAGAGTCTGCGCTAATGATGGAGCAGCTACATGAGTCACAGCTAGAAGTGAGGTCTCCGCTGACGTCCGGTGTATTTCGTGTCGGGTCGAACGCCCCTGCAGAAAACAGCAGTCAAGAGGGAGAAGGGGCGTCAGCCAATCAGAGGCAGGCTTCAAACCAGACTGAAGTGTGTTTAAAATGTGAGAGCTGAAACAAAAAATATATATTTATCCATTTTATTTTAGAACAGTTTCCCACGTACTTTCCTTGTCGTCTTCGTCTCTCCTTTTTCTCCATGATCCAGTCTCGCCCCTTCTTTGCCGATTTCCCTTTCATGTTATTAAACCGACATCTTTGCAAAGACAGAGAAGAGCTTAATAAAGTATTCAAACCGTGTCTATAGCCTGGAACACTCACACCCAAGGGTCTGACTGGGTGTGAGTCAGACCCTTTCACATCCGAATGTGAAAGGGAGGAAAAGCCACCTGACAGAGTCTGACGTCAGGCAGGACAACGGCCCTCTCTGAGCTCCTGTTGGTCTTTTGGCTTCATCAACACAAGTATGACTCAACCTGCACTGATTGACGCCGAGACTCGCTTTACAACTTAATCGCAACTTGCTTTCAGAGTACTCCAAAATAAAAGTGACTAATCGCATTCACAGAATCAGGTAATTGCTTGCTTTGATCATCTCGTGTCTAAGAAAAAAGAATGAGGCAAGCAGGCTTGAGATTGAAGGCAAAATCCTTAAAATGAATAAAAAGGTGAAGATTTTTTTTTTCAAATAAATTAGGCCAAGTATTCTAACTGAAGGCTTCAAGCATCAGTAAAACAATTGTATTGAAGCTGCTTTAACTTTGCAATAAAGTAGAGCAGAATAGTGACTGCAATAAGCTGCTACACAGAAAACACAAATATTACTATAGTATTAATATTCTAAATGAAACAATAGCTGCAAAAATTACTGCTTTGCTTAGAACATATTTACCTTTGTCCTGAATACTGAACTTGGTTTGCAACAGTTCTGTCTGACGTTTCTGACCCCAAACCCTGAAATAATTAACATTAAATAATAATAATTTTAAAAAATAGAAGTTCCATAAACAGAAAGTAAGTCAAAAATAAATAAATGTATGTTTCTTACTTTGGGAAGAACTCCAGTCCCACCAGCAAACAGACAAAGGAAGAACCTGGAGGTAAATAAGAAGCCATCTGTTTTAATTTGCAATGAGCTTAAACAAGTTAAATCATTAAATTATTAGCAGGTGGATAAACACTGTATGAATGCATATGAAGCTGGATGAACATTTCTAACTTTTTAGCCTTGCTGCTGTTTGGGTAGTCCACCACCATGCCTCCACTGAAACCCGCCCTCATGGCCTGAGACGTAATGAGTTCAAGCTTTAAAAATAAAGTGAGACAAAATGAAATGCACGAGAAGATCGTTTCAGGCTCCAAATGAAAGCATCTCAGATTTTCTACCTGCTCTGAGTTTTCAGGATAAAGCTGAAAAACTGCCCGAGATCCTCTGGCCTCAAAGAACAAAAACACCAAAATTACTTCCCGTAAATGTAAAAATCTGACATATAAATGTTCAGGTTGACGACATTAAAACTTTACCAAAGACGAGTAGAGGGTGCTGAAGAAAGTGAAGAGTCTCTTCGGCGGACTGTGCGACCGTTTGTCGGCATTACAGAGCCACTGCAGTGCAGAGATGCTGACGAGAGCAAAACAGCACAAGTTTCAATCATGAAAACAATTCAGAACTCAGTTAAAAGCGCTAAAATGTGCCGGATAAGCCGCCGAGGCTCTTACCTGATGCAGCCGTCGAACGTGCCCGCCCGAAAAGGCATGCCCTGACCCATGTCCCCCAGCAGGACGTCTCCCTCCACCTCCCTGTCCAGAGCAACATCTGCAAGGAAAACATTCACAGCTTGGTGATTAGTCAGTAATCTGCATCAATTACTGACAACGCACTTATTGGAAAAATGTGAAAAAGCAACCAGAAATCTCTCAGCTGATAGCCTGGAAAGCTAACAAGGAACTTTACGTTTTTCCATTGTCTAATAGTTACCTTCAACCTATAGAACATAAAGTGTGCTTGTTTTTATTAAACAAGAAAAACAAATATAAAAATCCCGCCTGAAGTCCTGAACTGCTGCAGGTCATTCCTATTTTTCTCATAAAAACCAAGCCTGTTCTTTTTTTCAAGTATTTTGAAGACAACACACGATTCAATGCCTCAACATTAATAATCATTGTACTTATACTGTACAAAAAAGGCTCCAGGTTACTTCCAATGTTTTTTTTCTTTTACTTAACTTGAAACCTGTAGAAAACAACAGATGGATGAAGCACAAACGTGCAGATGGATAGAGAGACAGAAACCCCTCTGCCGTGCTTCATGAATTGTCTTTCATTTTTAAAAAGCATGTGAAACTAACCGAGCATGGCGGAGCTGATGTCGACGCCGACCCAGTAGTGTCCCTCCTCTGTTAGGTAATCTCCACTGAGACCAGATCCACACCTGGGAGGCAGAACAGAACTTAGTGCCTCGCGTTCCTCTGCTCCGGCTCCAAGTAGTCCTCAGGTTAACATTTCACACATTACAAATACACAGTTCAATTTCCTGAGGGAGTCTTCCCAAGGGATCAATAAAGTACGAGTCTAAGTCTAAGTCTTGATGTAAATACATGTGAATTATTATTTTACTAAGGTTTTGCTTTAAGTAAACAGCCGGTGCAACTTATTTACCCAACATCTAACAGGAAGCAAGCCTGTCCCTCTGGCAGGCTTAGCAGCTCCACCGCTCTCTCCGACATCTGAGTCTGGATCTCAATCATCCGAGAGCTGTCGATCAGGAAGTACAATCAGACTTTGTGACGAGAAACGTATGTGCGCAAGAAAACAATCCCCTATTAATCTAGCTCTAATTAATAGATACACTTCAGCAAAAACACAGATAAGTAGTCTTTTGAGATACTACACTAAAGATTTTTGGCACCAATAAAACTCCAGTAATAAAGTCTGAGAAATTATTCTTTGCAGATAAGAAAAGAATGCTGATTACTTGACTTTTGCAGAAACATAAAGCTCAAAGTGTCTCTCATTTTCAAAACCAGGATTATTTTAAGTCCACAATACAAATCCACTGGGGGGAAATAAATAAAATGAATAGTTTGTAAAATCAGCAAGAAATGCAAACTCCAGCGACTTATTGAAAATTAATCAATGCGTCCATCTTCATAAGCATATGAAAAGTAAACAATGATCCCAGCAAACACAACAGAATAAATAAAACATCAACATCATCCCAAACACAAGACAAAACAAGAATCACAACAGAGCAATAGATCAGTTAATGACAAACATGACTGAACAGGAGCTTAACTGGAGACATGTTCATAAAAGCCCCAAACTTTACACATATGACAGAAAATAGAGGATCCAGACTTACTTCTGGGAGTATTTCTTCGCTTCATCTTCATTGTAGAACTGCAGAGATGAGATTAGATCAGTAAATCACATGTCTGTAGGTCACAAAGGTTTATTTTACCTAAATATCACAAAGCTAAAAAAACACTGACACGTGAGCGGTTTAAATGAGTTTCATTCTCTCAATATACCTCTTTAAAAGGTGCTATGTTTCAATTAAGGAGACACACCAAACACTTAATGAAACCACTTCTGCAGTTCCACAAACACACACGGTTACGGCAAACAAAGCCGTCAAACTGACCACGTCTGGCGGAGCTGAGTGTTCAGGTCTGCGGCAGCTGGAAGCCATGGTCCCCCTGGCTTCACTTCTTTATCTGTTGTTTAAAAATCAAGCTAAATGTTGGGATAGCAGCAGGCTATCCACATGTGAAGAGGAGCCACAGTCCTTGTTCGCTGATTGAAATTATGCTGATCTATTGGGAAGCGGCGCTCTATCGCCCCCTGCTGTTCATTCAATTCATCCTTTGCTCTGGTCTGGTTTACATTTTACAAACAGGAGGAGAAGAACAAAATATACACCTTTGCGTTGAATTTATAATGAAAAAACTAGTTTGTAGACATTTAAAGCATATCATAAAGCTAAACAAATAATAACTCAATGATGCAGATACTTTTTACCATCTGCATTGAATACTGAAACCTTATCTAGTTAAATTATCACGTTATTATTATTATTATTATTATTATTATTATTATTATTGATTTAGAGACATAGTGAAGAAAAGCCAATCATTCTTTATACTTTTTTATTTTATTTGAGTTGTTTTCTTTCTCCTCATACTACAGTGAAAAGACTGTTCTGCATGATTCATGTAATTTCAGTTTTCTTGTCTAAAAAAGACCCTCTGATATTGCCAGTTACTGTAAAATATTCATTCTACATTTTCAAAATGTACAAAATATTCATGCCCTTTAATCATTTTCAGTTTAGTCTGGTTTAATCACTTCACCTCGGAATTTTGACAGTCACATTTCAAATTACGCAACTTTCGAGTTGCCATGTAGACTCTGTAAAGTATGAGAAGAAATCTCTTCTTTTTAAATAAAGCCATAAATAGACAGTATTTCAACTCAATCAAAACCGAGTAGAAAGAAAAAGGAACAAAACGTACTTTTAATCTGCTAAAATGCTAAATACATTTCATTAGGTTAAGAGATTTTGTGTATCTTGTCTAATTAAATACCTTTTGAAATAGGGAAGTTTACTAATTCTGGGCGGGGACATTGAGCTAAGCTAAGAAATATTCATTGTGTTTATAAAGACCTTTTCACCTATACAGTTCAAATGTCCCAGTTTTATCTATTGCACCATACGCGAAAATCTTTGTTGTGAATCTGATTGGTAGATGAGTTAAAATACTTCCTGTAAACATGGCACCTGATTGGCTGGTTGCCTTGTAACACCCGGAAGCTCTCCGTCGTCGTTCACCGGCTTGTTTTTGGTAAAATGGCAGAGGTCAGCCAGCGGCTCGGGACCGGAGCCTACCGGCTGGTGACCGCCTGTCCTGGCCAAGCTCGCCCGCTGCGGCCCATAAGACCCAGGGGGCTTTTCCCGGTCAATGACACCTGCATCCAGGGACACTTTACCGAAAAATGCGTCCAGCTATTAAAAGGAAGAGTCCCTCAGCGGAGTCCTGAGAAACTTAACAGAGTAAGACAAACTGCAACTCATCTTGACTGCACTTCTTTAAACGCACATTTAGCTCGTTTATTCTGGCTTCCGGACACCAGAAAGAGCCCAACAGTCACCAAAACAAGTCTGCTGATCCCGACTGGGCGCCTTCAGGAAAAGCTGTTCTCCTGCGTGAAGCCCATCTGGACCAGTGGGGCTGCTTCAATCCACCCCGACACCTGGTGGTCCCCTCGGCAGCTCAGAACCTTCTGCACTGTCCTCCTCATCCTCGCAGATGACGGATCCTCACTGACACACCTGAAGCTCCACCCAGGTGCCTGTAAAGCCTCCACAGCAGCTAGAAGTTACAGCAGGTGGTCAGAGGAGGCTCCTCTGCTGCACAGGAGTAAAACCGCCTATTATGACGTCCTCAAAGTGACCCCAAGTGCTACACAGTCACAGATCAAGACGGCCTACTACCAGCAGTCCTTCATCTATCATCCTGACAAGAACCCGAGCAGCGAGGAAGCCACACAGCGCTTCGCTGAGATCAGCGAGGCTTACACCGTGCTGAGCAACATCAGCCTGAGGAGGAAGTACGACCGAGGCATCCTGAGCCAGTCTGACCTGCAGAACCCAGAGAAGCCGTCCTCCAAAGACGCATCGAGCAGAGCCACAAGCTCCCAGCAGCATTATCGTCAGCAGAGAGCCAGGCCATTCTCCCAAACCGGTGGTCGGCCCATGTTTGACTTTGACGCCTTTTTTCAGGCTCACTACGGAGAGCAGCTTCAGAGGGAGAGGGACCTAAGAGTCAAGAGGAAGCAGATGGAGGAAGAGCAGAAGAAGAGGCTGAAAGAGTACCGTCAGGAGAAGATGCGGGAGCTCTTTGCGATGATGCTGGCGACCATGTCAGTGATGATCTTGATCAGTCTGTTCAGGTTTTGACCCAGCAGCAGCAGCAGACAGTGGCTGATGTTTCTCGGATGGAGGCGGTGGCTGATGCTGCACAGTTTGGCAGCAAGAGTTGAAACTCCAAGAGTTTTCAACATGGATTTTGATGTTTCTGAAGGAAACATTTATGGCTCTTCATCTTTCAAATCGGCATCGACGCAAAATGGTTGACTCCTCAATGATCCGAGACTGACTGCATATGAATGAGGAGTTGTTTTTAAGCTCATTTCAGCTTTAAGCTGCTTGCATTTTGAAATCATTTTCTTTTCTATAGCTAAAATGTGAAAACACCAGAAAATCTGACTTCTCAAACGCCAAAACAAACAGACAAACAAACAAACAACAAAAATATAACTTTAATTGTAGAATTTCAACCAATACAAGCACAAAATTATTGTTTTCCTGTAAACATGCTTTTCTTAAAGGAGCATCAAATCAAAAAATGCAACAAAAAAAAAAAGTTCTAAAGAACGTGTGCTAAGTCACTTACAATTTTGCATAGCTTCATTCAGCGACTCTAGTAATAACCCTCACCGTTCTGATTATGCTTGTCATGTTGAGCAGCTTTCTGTGATTGAACTTCATAAATGGTGATCTTAGAATATCATGGTCAAAGTTTTTTCACCTAAAGCTCTGCCTCAGTATTGTTTCAGCCAGAAACAAGTACTTTGGAAACAATACCGTTTACTTTTTACTTGCATTCTCACTTCTGAAGCCAGGCAGATTTTGGCACCTTAAAGTGATTGTTTTCTCTCCAAATGAGGCCTAAAGATGAAAAAGACGGTTGCTCTTTTTAATGATGCTCAAGTTTTTTCTTCCCTTTACACTGAATATGTAATAGAAAAATAAATGCATATTATATGCACAGAGCAAATGTAAACATCTGATAGTTTCCTTAGGTGTGTAAATGAAAATAAATCTACGTACTGTACAGAAATGATGCTTCTGTATCATTATCAAAGTATTAAAATCTACAAATATTTTAAGGAGAGTTATTTTTGTGTTTGAATGTTTTCAGCAGAGGAACATTAACCTCACAAGAGACTCACTTGGCTGGTTTTCCATTTATAGACGTTCAGGTTGCTGAGACAAAAGATGCACACATCCAACATAAACCCTGGAAACATGGCTGCGATGTTTAAAACTACACATCAACGTATGCTCAGTAAGTCTTACTGATTTAGTTCTCCAACTGCTCAATTTTAAGTGTAAAGCAAATTAAAATGAAGTCAAATACAGAATATCCAAAATTAATAAGAAACACAAGAAGCCTGACTGCTTGGTAGGAAAATATAAACAGATTAAAGAACATCATAATTTGTGCAGGCAGCTTCATTTAATGTACAACAAAAGTTCAGAGCATTTAGATTTGAGAACCTCAAAGTTAAACTTAATGTATTTTTCAACTGTATTTGCAATTATTAGTTTCCAAGGAGATAATATTGTCCCGAAAAAGACTTGAAGGCTTTGATTCAAGTAATAAAATCTAAAATAGCTTTAGTTTTTTGTGTTTATTATTATTAAAAAAAACATAAGATATGTTGCATCAGTGTAGTTCTGTGTAGAAACGACTTGCTACCAAAGGAAACCATAAATTGTTACTAGAGAATAACAAACATTTAGAAAAGAATCATTTCTATGATCTGCACATGTGTTTTTAGAAACTAATTTTATGAATATTGTAGAATAAAAAAAGTGGATAGTATTTTTTTTGTAAATTTAAGCACACCATTGGTTAGAAATATGACTTAAAAAGAAATTAATATGAATACACACCAACATGACCTTTATACAGATTTTTGAACTAGACTAATCCTTTAAAAACAAATAATCTTTCAAACTTTCCGCTCAACAGATGCTGATTTGCAATTCCCTCTCTAAAACAATCAATTTATGGTTTTAAATCTGCCCTCCAGGGGGCGTCTGAATATATGGAAATAAATAAATATCCATCTTAAAAAACAAAAACAAAACAAAAAAAAAACAGGAGAATTTGAACTGACGGACATAAAAACATCTAGAGGGTTTGAACAAATCCACTCAAATCCACTCCGTCACTTTGTTCTTAAGAGCAAATACCCAAAATGTGAGCCGATGAGATCCCTGCACACTCCTGCATTTTCTCTTTTAAACGCTGAAGCACACCGCTGTGAAGCGTTCGCGTCTCAATAACCGCACAACACGCCCAATAGAGTCACGTTTTATTCACAGAAATATAAAGTAGTATGTCAATTACATCACTTTGTACAAAATTGCACAGACTCTTCAAAACTCAGTCAGACAACAGAAAGTTCAGCTGTGGGAGAGTCACGTAGAACAGAAAGGAGTGCGGTCGCCGACGTGGGACGGGCCGGGCTGGGTTTTTTTAATATTTTCTCCACTGTTTCATAAAGAAGAACCGGTTGTACATAAATAAGACTCGATAGGAAGAATGTCATTTACATGGGCAAAGGAATAACTGGCTTTCAAAAAATAGGATTCTTATTGGCACATGAGCTGCTCCATTCACTGAAATCGTCTTCCAGGCTCGGTGGCCATCCTCAATGAAACACCCCTGACTGTGTTTCCAATAAAAGTAGAGGTTTTGTTTCTTTAAGAGAACAGTTTTCACATGAAACTTGTGCCATTTATAATCTTTTTGGCAAACGGAACAAAAACAAGGTATTTGTTCCTGGCCCTCGCCGCTGCATGTCAGACGCAATAGTCTGTTAATTTTATCGTCCATATTGGATTCGCAAAATAACCCAAATGAGGTTGTTTTTCAAACTGAATGTGACGTACTTTGAGCGTAAATCCAATTTTTTCCTTGAAATTTGCTTAAAACCTCAGTTCATACAGCAAAACACCATCTTTCTATTCAAGGGTGGCCACCTAGACCACTTTGTCCTAGTCAAAACCCACAAGCTTACCTGGAGAGAACACACAACTGTCCCCAACGCTGCCTTTCACACACGCACACAAAAAGAAAACATGTCCCCCCAAATAAAGCTGGGTTTTGTTTAATCCTCAAGGTGTTATTTCAAATTAATCTTATGTCAACAGAGAATCTAAACTATAGGTTACCATTGATGGTGATGCATGTGAATACAGAATACGAAACCAAGGGACCCGGAAAAGCATGTTTCAGAAACACCTCTGCAGCACCCACACACACACACACACACACACACACACACACACACACACACACACACACACACACACACACACACACACACACACACCATTAAAAATATCTGGACTCTAATACACTAGCACACATTCAGAGTAACAACCCGCTAACACGGGAGCCGTCCTGTCCGGTTCATAGAAACTATCTCACACTTTTCAGCAAAACAAACGCCTGACCTTGCGTCTGGATGGGGTGACCTCGCTGAAACTTTCAAAAGCCTTTGCAGATGGCACTTTTAACATCCGGCCTTGCAAAAATAGCCATATCCCTCTAACTTGTCCCACAACTTGTCACTGTAAAATACAAACTTTAGTTTATTTTAATTGGTATATTACATGACAGATCAACACCGAGTTGTGCATGACTGGAAAGAAGGTTGTGAATGTGTTTGAAACTCTCTTACAAATAAGAGTCTGTAAAGGTTTACTTGTCCGTCCTTCTTTGCAGTCGGATTTGGTGGACAGCACACTCTTCATAACATGAACCTCTGGGCCCGTTTAAAGTCTTCTGCAGCCGATTAAAAGGTTTTCTTCCAGGATCACATTGTATTTATCTACATGCGTCATCTTCGACCAACTTCCCTGCCCCCACTGAAGAAAAGAAGTCCCACAGCATCATACCGTTACCACCGTGGGGATGATGCGTTCAGAGTCATTATGTATAATGTTGGGCAAAACGTTTCATTTTGTTGTCTTTCATTGTCTCTTTCAACTACATGGATCGTGGTGCAGTAGAAAACTTGGAATATTGTTTTATAGCTTAATCTCGATTTAAAGTTCCAAGTGTTCCTTGGTCTTCTAGATCAGTAACGTTCTCCAGCTGATCTGTGAAGCCTCAGCAGAACAGCTGGATTTAAACTGAGATTACGTTTTGTGCAGGTGAACTGAGGGCGGTTGGCTACAGCGAACATTTTCTTAGGTTAACAGAGTAAAAAAGGGGGCGGACTTTGAATGTAAAACCCATTTTTAAAATTTTAATTTAGAAAAATTAAAACAACAATGTATCATTTTCCTTTCATCTCACAACTTACTTTACTTTGTGTTGATCTGACACATAAAATCCCTGTGACTGAACGTGGAAAAGATCCAGGACTACGAATACGTTTGCAAGGCACTGTTGATTTTAACCAGAGATGAAACTCACATTTTTAGGGGATGTTAATGGACTCCTCCTCGACGGCTTCAGTCTGTTCTGAGTTCAGGCTAACTGTCAGGCACCCAGACCCCCGCAGGCTGTTCAGGTTTAGGAAAAATACCTCTCAGCTAACACAAACACATGTGCTAGCTGTCCCAGTGTTAGTGTAAGGACCCGGAGCCGGACTCTGAAGAGAAAATCCTCGGGGGACAGCGAGGATATCCGGGACGGATTCAAAGCAGCTTTACAAACATTAACAGGATGCTCCGAGGAGCTGAGCGAGAAAGGCGGGGGGGTTTCTGCAGGGTCATTTCAGACTCTCAGTCCTCTGGCAGGGCAGCGACACCGGGAAGTGTGGGGAAGGCCAAGCAGAAAACGGACAGAGGAAGTGAATCGAAACCATCTGACTCCATCCGCTTGCAATCATCCACACCATCAGATTTTTCTATTTATTATGATTTTTTTATTATTATTTTTTTGTGCATCTTAACCTCTTGTTCTGTGTCCTTGATATCAAGCAAAAAGGGGAATTTGTTAGCGTGGACATGCCGTTTGGCATCATTTGCTTCCCAGTAAATTTCCCTGGGACAAAAATAAACAGAGGAAATGAGGAGTGATTTGGATCAGGGTTTTGTTGTTATTGTTGTTTCTTTAAATGTGCGGAGTTGTCCTTGACACCTTGTGTTTGCAGCACACAAGCCAAACGCTGTTCTTCTGTTTGTTGTTTTTTTAGGATGGTTGTCTAATAGAAGGAGTACTGGTTCTCCACGGCGCGGGCCCTGCGGGTCCCGTCGGCGTCGTGGTAATCCTCCGACGCTCCGCTCGACGCATCCAGCAGGCGCTCGGAGCTGTTGCTCCGGCTCTGCAGGCCGCCGCCGCCCAGCCCCGTACCGGGGTCGCTCCGGGAGAGGGACGGCAGGGCGGTGGGCGAGGACGAGGTGCTGGAGGACCGGGGCCCGTCGGACGAAGGCCCCGCAGGAGCGGCAGTTCCGGGCAGGTGTAGGGCCGGCTGGACGGGATCCGTTCTGCAGGACGCGTCCCGAGGAGGAGTGAAAACCGGAGGCACGGCCGCATCTGTGGCAGAACAAAGAAAGTGTTTTATAAAGTGTAGACGTACGTAGAAATGAAACAACAACTCCGGTCGCTGTTCGCTGGTCCTCCTGGAAAGTCAGAAGTAAAAGGCTCCTTCATGAATCGGCGTGTCAACACAGGCAGTGTGGGCCTCCTGTATTATCCTTTCTCTTGGTGGGCAAGAACGCCAACAACACTGAGGCCAAAGACATGCCTGAGCAGCGCATCAATACGGCCTTTTACACCTCGAATGAAACCCTCGCTTTATTTGCATGCGAGTGAGTGGATGAGTGTGTGTAGGTCCGGGGTTTGGTAAAACAGAGGGCCTCTTTGTGGCCGTCGGGGTGGAGTCAAGAGTCCAGGCCTGCATGCAAAACTTCAGCTTTTATAATTCCCCTCCCCTTACTCTGCTGCACAGGGTTGGGGTGGTAGGATGAGGGAAGTTCAAAATCTGCCATCCATCAGCTACCTGCAAGTTCCTCCTGAATTACATTGAGGTGGTCAAAGAGATTTTAGCTGATCTACGTCACTTGAAATGACATCGAGGTTCAAATAGTCAGTGGCTGTTCAGGACGACCGACAGTCATGATGATATGCAAAAGCTCAACAAGAACATTGAACAAGCTTCAATGTTCTTTACTTGGATTTTATGCAATTACAATGCAAAGCAGAGCGTAAATGTGAAGTGCAGGAGAAACAATACATGTTTTTAGAACAATAAAAAAAGAAACATAAAACATTTGTGTGTAGTATGTAACTGCACAAGATGAATTTTGTGTTATATGTGGCCTGTTCAAGTCGACATACCTGCAGCGGAGCTTCGCTGAACCTGCACATACGAGCGTAACGTGATGTCAGCCGATCCGCCCGACTCCAGGGGAATCGGGTGGGCGTGGAAGTGTCTCAGCATGTCCGTCACAGCGTGGAACCACAAGTGGTGGACGTGGCACTGGCCGTTCTCATTAACGGACAGACGTAAATGCTGCAGGGCGGACAGGGAAGGAGAGGATGAACAGAGAATGAACAGAACGCAAGGAGAACGTTGCCAAGGTAGAGAAAAGATTTTAAAATCGGTCAAGAAAATGGGCCAGCCGATGCACAGAAAGCCGGACAGAGGGCACTATCTTAAGAAGCCTCTTGTCGTGGGAGAAGAGTGACAGCATCCCGAGGCTGACACCAGCGGATATGATGGCAGCTGACACTTCCTCAGCACAGCCGGCTGGCAGGATGTGATGGCCTGGGATCACGTTGCATCAGAGAGCAAAGAGCTCTGACGTTACAGAGACTTTCCTAGGAAATGACAACTTAGCTCGCTGTCAGCTGCAGGGACCGCTGCACCAGCTGTTAAACCAGTTGGGTTAAATCGATTATTCTGGATGCCTAATGTCAATTATCCTAATTAAACAATACGTTATTAGGGTTTTGCTAGTTTTAGGACAGGCTTTCAGCTTTCGCCAACTGAAATTTAAGACTTTTCGAGAACATTATGAATGAAATTTAAGAGCTACATCCCCACACAGACGTACAAGAGAAATGCACATATATTTTTTCAGGTGACCAAACCAGTAAAATGTCTGTTGTCTTTCTGTGACTCGGCAGCGGCTTTGTACTTCTGACCCGTCATGTCGCTGTCTGCAAACTTCAGCCTCATCAGGTTCAGCTTTTTGTTTGCACATATTGTTTGCAACCTCACATTGTTCGGCAACACAATTGAGCCTGCAGCGAAGATGAATGTAAATAAACTTGCACTTTCCCATGATGCACACAAGAAAGCAAGCTAGGTGGCATGTGTTACTGATGGCTTTTACAGCCTCCAGACACAGGAAGCAGCGAGTGACGATGCCTCACTGCGACTCAAACTTTTGTCCGATGCACAATCCCTGCAAAAGAAAACTTGCATCGCCAAGAAATGTAAGGCTTGTCATAAGCATACACACGGCCATCGTACATTTTCTTTACTCAGTTTAGGGTGTTTTAAGGCCTTAATTTAGATTCATGAATATAAGACTTTTTAAGAATGCACAAACACCCTAAAAGAGATGACAGAAGGTCTCACCTTGGCTTTGCCCTGGAAGTTGAAGGTGAGGACGTACTCGCCCGGCCGCGTCTCACTCTGGCGAATCACGAAGAGCCCGTGGCTCCTGGCCCCGCCTGCAAGCACCAGCTGAGCCGCTCGAACGCGAGACAGAGTACCGTGAAACCACGGGTAACCTGCCAAACTGGCATCGCCCTCTGGCTCCTTTGTTCCTTCGCCACCACCTGAACAATGTCACAAGTCAGTTTGTTGTTGTATGGTTTCTTGAAAAAGCGTTCCAACACTTGAACTTTATGTTTCCGTCATGTCACATCGACGAATTGATTGTATTTTATAGGGTTTTTTTACGTTACAGGAGAGATATTTTAGGCAAAGTTAGACTATGAAACATTATAACTGTCTTTGAATGTCTGACAAAGAACTGTTTAATTCATTAACTGATGAACTGAAAGAGTACAACATAACTGGAACCTTAACAAAATGATTGCTTCCTGGAGGTTTTAAATTTTACCCTATTGACAATGTTCGGCTAACGCTACAAAGCTTACCAGAAATTGTTTGTGCTGTAAAAACGAACTGAAACTGACTCTTACTGCGAAGCAGAGACAGTTCTTCTCTTCTGTTTCAGCTCAGAAGGAGTGAGCTGAACAAGGTGGTTAATGTCATTTCAATGTTTGGACAGGCTGAAGGGCATCTTTCGCTTCCTCCATTGCCATTGCAAAATCTACAGGCAGACTACAGAAATTCACCGACAATCATTCACGCCTTCATCTGTTCGCTGACTGCCCTGAAATATAGCAAATTCACCAGAGGAGTCCATTTCAATGGGAGAAAGCCCAAACAGCTGGAGATGAGAATCAAGTGGAGTGACCAACCTAGTCAGTCGCATAAGGTCCCAGTGCAACACGTAAAAATTTTGCCGTTGAAACGTGACAGATTTTCATAAAGTTCAAGTGTCAGCCGTATCTCTCTGAAAGGGAAAGCGGCGTTCTGCTACCTGCAGAAGCGTTGGAGCTCTGGGCCTCTGGGGACTGCAGGAAGCGCTCTAAAGGCATGTGTGAAGGATGCTGAGTGAAGGGAGGCTCCCTGCATCGAACTGAGGGGACACTGTAATGATCTGCTGCTGTGGGACAGGACCTCTCTGGAGCACGATACACACCTAAAAGGGTTTTTTTCATAGAATTATATATATATATACATAAATCAGGACCTCTTTTTTTTCCAGCATCAAAGCATGTAAACACTGTTCAAAGTGAGGTCTCTGCTCACCCTCAGAAAGCAGCTCGCAGCTGCAAGAGGCCACCATGGAGCAGTCTTTGGAGGCCTGGCCGTGAGGACATGACGCCAGCTCGATGTCATCGCCGCTGTCTCTATACACAAGGAGGCAGGTCAGAGCAACCGCAAGAGCGTACACACAGGAGCAAACAAACATCAGCCCGTGTCCTAACATGGTCCTGCACGCCTCCACTTCCTGCACACACCGAAAACAAATAGCCTCTTCTGTTTACATGAGGCCCTGTGCCGACAAAACGTCCAGCTCGTCAGACAAGCCGAGCGGCACAAACCTGGCCCGTGTTTGTTACTCAAGCAGCCTGTCAAAAAGTCCACTAATTGGATGATTAATGAGTCTGTGTGTCATTTCCCTCCACCTCCCTCGCTTCCTCCCTCCAGTCTTCGGTCAACAACAAATATTTATCTGGCTCTTTACCCGGGGTCTATGCAGTCCTGGATATCTGCAACCCAGGAGTTTTTTTGCAGAGAGTCGATGGTTTCCAGGATGTACTCCCCCCCATTCTCCACCTGTGAAAGCAGCCAAAAAAAAAAAAAAAAACACTTCAGTCACACACCGAACTCCTGCTTTCGCGAGTGACCTGTTCTCCAGCTTCAGGTCACCTCCGTGCCACCTGCTTTTCCCCCCACTTTTTGGGGGGCATTTTGAACGCACCTTCAGAACGAACGTGTTGTCCTTGTCGGGCATCTCCAGCGGCATGGTGGTCCTCACCTCCACGATGGCTGAGAGGGGGATGCTCACTTTAGGCTTTGAACACTAAAACCCAGCAGGCAAACGGACTAGTTAAAGCTCACAGCGGTTCATTGAGCCTCATCAACAAACAGCAAGATAAAGACAATCTGGATTTAAAAGGAAATCATTTAGAATCTCTAAAATTAGATTCGCCTGAAAGAAGTCGAGTGTGGCGATATAAACTATTTATTAAATTTTTTTTTAACCCCACAAACACATATTACAACATTGCTGCATGTGATGTGTCTCCTTAGGACTCAACTCGCATGAAGAAGTGTGTTTTATATCACTGAACTGCACACAGCAACTCAATCTATTAGGATTTCAAACTTATTGATGGCAGAACTAAACTAAACCAACAATAGGGTCAGGTTAAACTCCATCAACTGGAAGTTATCGTGACGATCAGTCACGATTCTTATCTCGATAAGAAATGTCACAATTTATCACGATAAATTGTGAAAGACACAACAAATGCCCCTAATGGATGGATGGAGGCACCAATAGATTGACGGACAAATGGCGCCAACAAGCTTTTCTGTGTTGAAGGAAAACACAAAGGTTTCTCTGAAAATGGTCAAGAAAGTCTGAATCGCTGGAAGCGAAATACAAAGAAACAACTTTGATCCCACAGTTGCAGTTTTAATTCTTCCCTGTCAAACGAGTCGACTGGAAAAGGTAAAGCTCCACATCTGTAAATAAAATTAAACCAACGGTGGGAAGAAGGAAGAGCTAAAGCTCTGCTCTGGGCCAAGTGGGAACGTTTTCCCTCCGTTTCCTGCTTCCCACTTCATCCCAGCGATTTCTCCTGCAGGCTGACAAATGAAACATGCAACAAGTTTACCAGAGCGCCGACACGGGCAGAGCCCTCTGCAGAGCCACATGGCAATCTTCAAATCAGACTCCGTGAGCATGTTCAGGGCAGCAAACGCTGTGTATTTTGTGCACATCCATTTGCGTGTGTGTGTGTTTGTGTGTGTTGGGAGGCTGAGCTACTGTCTGGCTTATCAGCGGACCTGTGTGGAGTATCGCTGCACTCATCTCAATCTGCCTATGAAGCTGGCTGCCATCCACACCCACAATTCCCTTTTTTTTTTTTTCCTGGACCAAAAGTAAAAAAAAAAAATAAATAATCACTTCCTGTATTAAACCATTCAGTCGCTTCCTGTTTGTGGTGAGCCCAGCCTCTGAGGGAACAGTCAGTCTCTTTAAAAGAGCCACCGGTTCTTATGGGCCGAGGTGAAGATGAGCAAAAAGGTCTCAATCTGTTTTATAATCGAGGGAAAAATGTGTTACTGCATGGACTGATGCAAGATAAATGCAGGGGTTTGTTTCTGCCCAGCTTGTGATATCAGGCAGTTCTATACGTTTCCAGGGGTTTCCCATAGGATCACACATCCTCCGCCATACTTACCCAAAGGGCCTGAAGTGTTTTTCATTCATTAATGTTTTAATTGCTACCCTGACTGCATGTATGTAGCTGTCGTAGTTATTTCCTGAGTTGTGAAACTCACATGACGATTTATAATTTTACAGGAATTTTTACAGTTGCATCAGATTTGGCAGAGGAGGTTGTCAGAAATGTTTTCTTTTTCTTAATGTTTTTCTAAATTCTTCAGGGCGAAATTATGATGCTCTGATACAATATTAGTTCATTTTATGACTTTTTATTCGTCCGCTGAGAGTTGATCCAATAAGAGAAGAAACTATTGTGCTAAAAACATCAAGAAAAAAAGAGCTTTGAGTTTTAATTTCGAGAACTTTTACAAAACTCACACATGATCTCAACCTTTGGAGGACGTTTAAGACTGATTTATATTATTCTATTTATATTTCAGTAAAAATGTTACTCTTGAATGACTTCTTCCGTCACTCCTTTCCAGCTTTCCAACAGTTTTTTCCTTCCACCTAACTTTCCGTCAATATTCCTGGATACAGCGTTGTTAGCAGTTCGCTGCTCTACCTGTCCCTGTCTGCCGTGTTCCTACGTGGGCAGTGAAGCGGAGTAAGAGCGTGTGGCGTCACAACACAGACCGCCGCCGCTGCGTTGCAGAGGAGCCGACAGATTGATGGCCCTGGCAGGAAGCGGGGAGTCGGCGCGAGTGAGACTTTTATGAGTCAGTTTATCTCTCCGACACTTCGGAGCGACTGCTGTTGTGATTTGTAACATGTGAATGGGACGGCGGTGATAAAAGACGTATGCGTTTAATGGACCTGCCATCCAGGCAGCAGATTAACACCGTGAAGCGAAATTATTCCTCTTTATTTGTTCCTCTTGTGGTTCTCGCTGGCTGGGCAGGGAGTGAGGTCACCCTCTGAACTATTTTTGGTTCCTTTTTTCCTGCTTGTCCCAGCACCTAACTTGCCCAAGATGGGGAAGCAATCAATGTGAACATGAAAAAGAAACTCTGAGATCCTCTTGTCTTATGAAAATCAATGAGGCATCCTCTGGATGCCTCCGCAGCCGCGCCCCTCCTTTCCCACCTGTCCCCACCGCTCTGCTGCCCCAAAGCAGCCGCTTCCACATCCCTACCAGCCACGATCAGAGGACAGCAGCAGAGTTGCACACACTCAGCCGCACAGCCTCCTTGCCTGCTTAAGGTCACGAGCAACGAAGTGGAAATCCCATGCAGCCAAAAGGCGCACGCATGCTCAGGAGCGTGTGTCTGTGAGCAGCGCTGCTCGGCGCAGGCAGGGCCGGATCGCATAGCTGAATTTTAATCTGCCGTTCAGGCTCCCGCTTACTGTCATCATTGATTTTCTTTCTTTTTTTTTTTTTTTGCTCTTCTACACCGCAAAAACACAAAACTCCCCAAGTATTTTTGGTCGAGCTTCGAGTCTAAATATCTTGGTGCACTTGAAATAAGACAAAACTAACTTACAAGTGACTTTTCAGCAAGAAATAGCGGTTTGATCCAAGTCAACAATTCCTTAATATTTGTGAGAAAAAAAATCAGCAGTTATACGTAAAAAAAATCTGCCAGTGAAACAAGATATATTTCCTATATTTTAAGATAAAATGTCTTGTTCCACTGGCAGATTGTTTCATATATAACTACTGCTTTTCCATCAATATTAAGAAATATTGATTTCAAACAAGATTCTACATCTTGATGAAAAGTTATTTCTAGGTTAGTACATTTCAAATAAGGCAAAACTAACTTGGTGAAATGTTTCATTTTTACAGCGCACTTAAACTTAAAGACAGTAAAAATGCATAAAACGGAGATAAATGGTATTTGATGATATTAAAGCTGTCTGTGTGGCATCCATGTAAAACAAAGCATGTAAAAACTTTCTAAAATAAGAAAATGACAGAATCTTGGTTTTTCCTCAGTCAGATCATCATTTGGTGACATAATCCATGTGTTTCATGCGGTTTGTCTAATCTGAAGACAGGAACATGCTACAGATTAAGCACAACAACTTGGGTTTCGTCTTAAATACTGAATAAACTTAAATGGATATAAATTCACCCTTTTACACCTTGCTAGCAGGGTAACGCCACAAGTTGCAAACCACCCTCTTTCAGTTCTGCAATCGCAGAACACGCAGGGTGAGCAAACACGGACCGTGATCTCAGCGGATCGACTGGTGTGACGTGACGGGAGAAAGTGATCCAGGAGGAGAACACGTCTAGATTGACCATCTGAAATGGATTTTAGTGTTTGTCAGTGAAAGAGAGACCAGTAAGGAGAGACTGTACTGGCTGCTGAAGCTCAGTCTCTTAAGACATCTTAAGATGTCTTAAGAGACAATAAAAAATAAGTTTTCCATATGGTGACATTAAATGCTTTAGACCAGTTTTCAAAGGAGGTGCAACAAGCGCCTCAACTACATGATCACCATTATTTCTGTGAACTTTTAGCAGTTTCTTCGTGCTATTTTTTATGCATGTTTCACTGCTGCTTTTGCAATGCACAGGACCTCATCATATAATGATTCAGTCGCTATTGTTTTTTTTTTTTACTTTACTTTAGCACATTCAGTGCTAAAAGTACTGGTGGCTAGTTTCTCCTGTGACCACAGTCCCTTTAGCCCCCATTAAAAAGCTCCCTTTACAGACAAAACCACGGAAACCCAAAGTTTAAGTCATCATGTTCATACTTCCTTCTTTTTTTTCAGTTTGTTTGGCTCAGACTGTCGCTCGCCATCGCTTTAAGCTCCTAAAAATGTATCTTTTTTTCTCTTTTCTTCTCTAAATGTTTCCAGTTGCTTTTCCTGGTTTATTGTTCTCGCCATTTTTTTTTTAAATAATGTACCTGAACTCAAAAAAAAAAAAAACTGACTAGCAGAATGTGTCCACAACGTCAGCACACCTTTGGAGGAACGTAGAACTCCAGCAGGAACTTCTCCCCTCCGTCCTCCCGCTTGGTCTTCCTGAGCAGCAGGCGGCACTTCTGCCACTGTGCGGCGCCCATGCAGTTCGTGTCGTCGGCCACCATGTACCTCAGCGCCCCCTCCCTCTGGATCTCCAGCAGCTCGGCCTTGTGGCCCTGGGAGCTCCGGGGAAGCCGGAGCTTCTGGGACCACCTCTCGCCCCCTCCCGCCTCGCCTCCCGCCCCGTTGGCCCTCCTGACTCCCGAGGGGGCGTCAGGCTCCGGGGAGGCCCGTCTGTGCCACATCTCCTTCACCCCGTCCACCACGCACAGACTCATGTTCCTCAGGGAGAAACCCTTCTTGAAGCGGGCCTTCGGGTGGCCCACCGACACGTCCTCTGAGCTGCGCGACTGACCCAGAACGGACACCTTGTGGTTCTGCTGACCCCGGGAGGAGGGGGCGCTGCTGCCACCGCCTTCCCCGTCCATACCCCCGCCTCCACTGTCCATGCTGTCCAGAGACTCGCTCGAAGCCCCGGTCTCTTTGCGCCGCTGGTAGAGGTCGTGGCCGTAGGTCAGCGGGCAGCCCTGGATCCCCAGGAAAGGGACGATGCTGTACTTGGTCGCTGCGTTGCAGCCGTCCTCCCCCGGAGAGGACGCCCGTTTCTCCTTGGCCCGGGTCAGCGCCGCGGAGAAGCACTCCAGAAAGTGGTTGGCGAAGTGCTGCGAGAAGCTGGCATCGGCGCCGGGCGAGTCGTAGCACGGGTTCTCCGACAGGAAGCGCTGGAACTTGTCGGCGAAGTCGGCGGCCGCGGCTCTGGCGTGGAGCTCGCAGAACTCTCTCCAGTCGGGCAGCGGACACGAGGAGGAAAGCTCCGGGCTACCGGGCAGCGCCGCTCCGTTCATCACTGGGCCATGCCAACCCACCGAGGAGAGGCTGAGGAGGAAGGAGAGGGAGAGACTGTCGGTGTGGATTACACAGAGAAAGAGAAGGAGAAGACGCTGGCTTTGGGTCACACAAAGCAGCCGGGGAGCAGCCTGCATGTGAGATGGTGTGAATGGAGCAGACTGAGAGCCAGCTTACATCCATCACTGAGATGTTTACATAGAAACACAGAAAAAAATACAATTCAGATCTGCTTGGTTTATTGGATGGGCTTTCTTTTTTGTTTGGAAAGTGAGAAGATGCAAAAGAACCCAGGATCCAAAACCCAGAACCTCCACCGCCCCATCGCCCCCCCCCCCAAAAAAACTGTATTTTAGTGCTCTGGTAGATCTTATTAATATAAGAGAAGCACTAAAAATGCTTTTAGTGCTTGTCTGCCTCTGATGGGCAAGCAGGAAATCTGTCATCCACCCGGCCACCATGTGCTGCTACAGGTCATGCTGACGTCACTTGGTGTGGAAGTTGTTACTGAGGGTTGACAACTCTAATGTAGCAAACGCCAGAATTACTCGGGTGTTTAAAACATGAGGTCAGAGGAAGCTTCTAGAGAAAATTGGACTTTCAACAGACACTACAGCTCTTTTAACACAAAGTTAAACGCTAACAGAAGCTAATACGGAGATGTTTCCCTGTTTCATCACTTTAAGAGATAAAATTTGATCTTTCATAGAACATGTTGAATTAGGAAATGTCGACAGTCTTCAGGAAATCTCACACTTTACGTGAGGATACAAGAGGTTTACAGGGAACAATGTTTTTAAGCTGGCCACGCAGCTAACCATGCTAAATGCTAACACAACATGGTAACGTCGGCGCTCTACCAATTGTGTCTTTTGCACAGTGATGTAGCTTCTAACCTTCATATAAAGGTTTTTTTTTTAATTAATTTATTTTTTTGCGTTACTTCGGTAACGCAGAAGTTTTGCGAGGTGACGCAAAAGAAAAAGAATCCCCCCCCCCCATGTCCACTAGGGGGCTCCGTACGTCACTGTCCCGGTGAAGTTTCGACGATTCAGAAAGAGACGGATCTGACCTCAGGTTTTATTTCAGAACGAGACAAAACTGTTCAAAGATGTTTAGATTCGAGTCAGTCACAGGGAACGATTCAGAAGAAAAAAAACCCGAACGTCGTCATTAAAATCTGTCCATCTATGAGGAAGAATAAAGTGGCGCCTCCACTGTCAGTCCGACATGAGAGTCAGATGGTTCTGATCCAAAAATATCCGTCAGTTCCAGTTTATGACTTGGATCATTATGTCCTCTCCAGGCCTTTTTTTTTTTTTTAAACATCTATTCAAAAGTTGCTGACATCCACTGTTTCTTTCCCAACACGCCAGTTCTCGTGAATCGGGTTCTTCCCCTTTCGGGCTGCAGCTCCGCCAAATCGCATCACATCATGGACTGAACTTTTCGCTACACTGGGAATCCAACACAAAGCCATAGCGACACCGTGTCAGCGGCAACATCCAATCAGACATCCGCACACAACCCATCCTCCGTCTTCCCCCTCTCGCTACATCTGCACGTCGTCCTGCGGTGCCAAACAATCCGACGCGTGTTGGTTTTGATTATTCCCCTCCCGAACCTCACGGATGAGCGGCCGGACAGAGAGATGGGATCACCTGAGCTGCTGGGCTCCTGCTGCTGCAGCGGCGAGAGGTTTGCGCTCTGAAAACAAACGCGTCTTTCCAGGGACTTCTGCAGGAGTCCCAGGGCTGATTGATGGTTTTAATAGATTAAGCATCGTCTCTTTATAACGACAGTCTCGCTTTTGTAGTGTTTTTGCCCTCGAGATCACAAGATCGGACAAAAACAACAGAGCGGATCAAAACTACTGATTTTTATACTTTTGAATGACAAAAATAAATCTGACAATTCACATCTTTGTTATGAGATGAGACAGAAAGTCAACATTATACATCAGGTTACATCCTTTTTGCGTGAGACTGGCTGAATATAATGACATGCAGAATGTGTTTTCATGTATAGGCTATATACTGTATACATATCAGCCCTCAGTTTCTGCTTTCCAAGCTTCCCTTCTTAATTTTACACACGCCGATATTTCAATAATGATATATTATGCAGCCCTTATAAAAAAACTTAGTGATTAGCCTATAGAGCATCGATGTAAGAAGTGGGTCAGAACTCTTACACAACAATGTGATAGATATTGTTTGTGTGCCACATGTGCAATTACTAATCCCTTATTTTTGTACTGTTTACCTAAAAAAAACAACAACAACAAAACAGCAACTTGACACACAAATTTGAATCTTGGAGTCTACTTAGTTTCCCCAAGACTTTTCTGAAACTGGGTTGTCCTCCCATGACCTTAGATCGTTTGAGTGAATCACATTGAGCCGCTGCGACGCGATTTCAAAGGCTCAGCTTGCTGACTGAGCGGTGAAGACGCACGAGCGAGCCGCTCACACGTTTCCTCTTGTTTTGCGCCCTGAAGCTGAATCACGACGCGAAGTCCAGAAATAGAAGCAGTTACATTATCAGTCATCAGGTTACACAAGCCCATCCCGATAGGTGTCACACACACACACAGAGGGAGAGACGGAAGGTTTTCATGGTTTTCATGTTGGGATGAACACCTAAACAGTGGAAGATTGTTTCCTTCTCATTCATGAATTGATGGACTCATTCATTAAATGCTCCATGTATTCACGCCTTCAGGCCACACAAGCTTTGTGAGCCAAACTGCTAATCACCATGCAGTAATAATCACCCCCCTCCTTAGTTGGTGAGAGTGGTGTGTGTGTGCGTCTGTGCTGCTGATGCTGGGGAGCAGGTCAATACCCATTCAGCTATTTAAAAACCTGCACTCGGCCAACTTTCCACCCATTCAGCAGAAAAACCCAGCACACGACGAGGTGCTTCTGAAACTCCTGCCCTTCCTCGTTCAAGGATATTGAACCATCCACTGTCTCTCTCTCTCATACGCACACTCATTGAGTCAGCATGAAACTCAAGCCGTAAGGCTCTGGAGGAAGTGGACAGCATTATGGTTTTCTGGGGCTCAGCAGACTACTGAGGAGGCAAACTGGCATCTGGAGGAAAAATGATGACAAAGAAGAAGGAGGGATGGAGGTGGAGAGAGAGGTGGCTTCTGGGTCCACCTTCCCACACGTTACTGCCACAAGAAGTGTTTCACTAGGATTTTGTGCAATAGACCGACGCGCAACTGTGAACAAAGGTAAAATGATAGATGGGTTTTCAGAACAAAGATGGGATGAAATTGTGCCTTTTGTTGCACTCGGTACTTTGACACCCCTAAATAAAGTCCAGTTTCCTTCAGAGGTAGTTTGTACAAAAACTCACACAGGCTTTCTGTCTGAAGAAAAACAAAAAGCCGTAATCTGAGTTTTATAGGTCTATGCTTGAGTAAAATGAACTTTGCTTTTTTTAACTCTCTGAACTACTAACGACACGACAAGCAAAAGTTTGATATTTATTAGCAGAAAATGAGAAACGGTCAAAACGACTGAAAAGACGCGGCGCTTTCAGACCTGAAATACTGCAAAGAAAACAAGACCATGTTCATTTGGAAACAACAATATTAATGTTTTAACTCAGGAAGGGTTCAGGAATCAATATTTGGTGGAATAGCCAGGTGGTTTTCAGAGGCGTTCAGTGCAGTGGGCTCTTAACGTTTTGCAGAGTGTGAGCCTCCTATTGGATGGTTTCTGCATGGGCCGTTATTTTTCATCAGGCAACAAGTTATTTAATACCAACGGATGCAATGAGCAGCTTCTAAACAACGATGTCTAAGGATAAATTCTGCATTTCTGTAAAAGAGGTCAGGTGTGTAAGACGGGCCGGATCATGAACGCATGAAGCAGAAGCAAAATCTGAAGAAATTGCAGAAACTACTACAAACTGGGTTGAGATTTTTGTCCTCACATTATTAAAAAATGGGAGGATAGTTGAGAACCGTCGTCTCTGAGGAAGGAATGTGTTTGGACAAAACACCTAGAACGTTTGGTCATCTTTTAAGCATTCGGCGAAATAGATCTGATGGAGCCGTCGTTGGAGGAGCTGCACAGACCCATGACTCTGGTGGAAGTATCCAAACACCACACTGTTATTGGTGCGGCCCCCAAATATAGACTTCAAAGAAGATTGACAAAAAAGAGCAAGAGGAATGTTTAAGACATGTCATTGCTGTTGTGTTTACAGCTAACGCAATTTCTGGTGCGCTCCATCGAGCCGGTGTGTTTTGTACGGCACCTCAGTCGGGTCAAATCAGTTCTGTTCATTTCAAACTTCAACAGTTCAGTCCAGGCCTCCAGCTCAGTCTGCACGAAGCAAAGCGTAGAAAATGGGTTTGTTTTTTTGACCGGGCCGAGTCGACGGAGGTTCTGGAACAAACAGCTCCAGGTCAGCGCGAGGATCACGCTTGTTGTTTCATTCGTTTAGTAGTCAGGACATAAACAAAGGTTAGTCATGCTTGTGCAGGTGTGAACGCAAAAGTCGTGGTCTTTTATTTTTTTAAATATCCTCGGTGGACTTTCACTTCCTTCTGCTTGCATCTGTGGGAATCTGTCCAAGAGGCCGGTTTTCATGTTCGTGTTTAAAAGTGAAATGAAGTAATTGCTATCAGAATTTTTTACATAAGAAATGGTAAAAAACAAGTCGCCATCTCAACCCTATTAAAAAGGTGTAATTGAAACATAGAGCGTCAATGCATAGAACGCTCTGTTTTGGCAGATTGGCAACAAATTTTAACAATGTACAATTGAATGCTGGCATATTGCCCACTCCCAGTCATATTTATATGTTTAGAAATGAGAGTAAGGTGTGGTTTTTTTCCACACGTAAAGATGAGGGACTGTGTTTGAAGCCAGCAATCAGTGAGGCTGTGAAGGTGTAGGAGACAAAGGGAGCGTAAAGAAAAGCAGACACACTCCAGGACGAGAGACAGCGGAGATTCCCACATCGACACAAATCCCTTCGGAGGTTTTCAGCTCCACCGGACCAGA